AACGTCCCCTCTCAAAACCATGTGTATGCCCGTTCAAAAACTGATGGCTCAGTGCCTTACGTGAGCCCACGCATGTCTTTATGAGTGAGTGAGCTTAGATAAGGTAGCAGTGATGGAACAAAACGGGCTTAAGATGAGAACATGAAACATCGAAAACGTAGAAAGAAAAGTTCAATACAACATACAAAATGGGGGCAGGCATGGACTGCACCAAGTAGACTTTTTTCCTGCATGAGATGTTCAACCATGGGTTTAGGAAAAGACCATTCCATGGACTCAAATATTGCGCAAGTTTTATGAGCGAAAGAAGGATTAAATTGTTGCGCCGAACCTTGGGAGGTGCAAATCAGTCAGTGTAAAATAGTTTTAGTGTATTGCAACAAATTTCATAAAAATAAAAGAGACAGGCAATCTTGGTTCCCCCTCTCCTCCCACCTTAACTGTAAGCCTGAAAACCAGTTTTTGTGACCTGACGTTGCCTCCTTTGGCCGTTATTTGAATAACTAAAGATAAGAACAGCTTGATATGTTAACTTTCGTGACGACACAAAGGCAACATACGAATTTTACATCACGTCGACAATGTGTCCACACTCGATGAAAAGTAGCATAAGTGCAAAATGCCCCCCGCCCGTAGCCGAACTGCCCAACAAAAAATACCTTGATGGTTCTGTCATCGGCTGCGCTAACGATTCTCCATGTGTCCACTTGAAGGCAGCGCACCACACCAGTATGACCTTCGGCTAATTTCCAATCAATCGTATGCATGCATCTGAAGGACGAACTTTCTATTCACATACTATTTCACACTGAAAACAAAAGTCTCTCTCATTTCTCTCACAGTACTTGGGTACTTGGGCACGCTAAATCTCAGACTGCGATTATACCGTGCGATGACATCTACGTTGGAAGGAAAGCATGTATACTGATTCGAAGGAGTCAAAGATTTCGGTGGCGAATTTCGGCGACTACGCTCAGAAGATTAGATTCTTCACTGTCGCGCAAGCTATGAACTCGGCCTTACGTCGGTTACGTCGGATCGATGCGCATTTCATCTTCTCAGCACAGCACGTTGATTGCGCTATCGCAAAGTATGAACGCAGCCTTACTAGGCAGCTAGCCGCATTTCTGATAATGAACATTTCATAGCAAAAACTCCATCTCAACTCACTTTCCCGTTCGTACGTCCCACATTTTTATCATTCCTATCAACACTACCAGAAACGATTCTATGGTCATCGAAACGGACGCATGTGACCTAGAAAAACTTAAAAACTTATGGAAAAAGAAGAAATGGAGGTCAAAATGATAACTCTTGAAAGGCACGTACCGCGTTATCATGCGCATTGTGTATCGTCATTTCTGGCCTTCCCGTTCTTGTATCCCAACACTTGATGGAATTATCAGCCGATCCAGAAACAGCTAATGAGTCACGATCACGATACTGTACGCATAGCACTGAGTCGTTATGGCCACTAAAATACAATAATCTAGCCATCGGACGAGTATTGATTTAGTTTCTGATACAATTTTGAGCGGAGTTCGGCTTGGGGGCTTTTTGCTAGTTCCCATCCACCATTGTCGATGTCTCCTGTGGAAAACCTGTGAAATCCTGCAAAGCTGAACAATAGCAGGGGGCGGGTATGTGACAAGAGGATCGTAATTTGCCGCGCTGCTGGGCGTCGCGTGCGACGTCCCGCCCGCAAAGGACGATGGTTTCAGGCAGTAGATGGCGACAACATGCAATTAAGGGACCGAAAACAGTAATGAGTGTCTACGATGACGGGGTCTACATGAAGTCCGGTGCTCCATTCAGGTTAAAACGAGTTATGAAAACGCCGCGCCCATCGCCGCGCGTGGCGGTGCGGCGAATTACGATCCTCTTTACCGTCTCCCGCTTCGTTTAAATTTCGCAAGAGCCCACAGTTTTCATCAAGGTGTTATGTGTAATTTAAAAGGAAGAGGCAATGAGAGAAACATATTCCTTCCTGAACAAAACCGCAGCCATTCCCGACCCCCCCGCCCCCAGTCCATGTCTCATATAATGCAGTGGACATTTTGGTGCATTACAGCCCTCTCCACTTTTTATCTGAACATTACACCAAGCAGTGATATTCGGGAAAAAATTTTGCACTTTGCAAAAGGAAAGTCTTCAACAGTCTCTGCAAAAGGCCAGGCAAACTGTTTCTCCGAAGTAGTAGTGATACATATGAAGCACGGCATGAAATCTTGACTTTGGGATTACGCTGTTCCAACGACAAGGCTGGCATCACAAACCGAACACAAAAATGAAGGGGGTGGGGGTAAAAGCGAGATTGCCCTAGCGAAAGACTGACAGCGTCAAAGTAAATTGTAGCCCAAATTCAAGGGATCCGCCTATATGGTTCTACCCGAGTTCAGGTGAATCTTGATGAGCCCTGTGTAAGTAAACTTACACAAGTGTTCGTACACAAGCTCCAGTATTCAGCGACCATAACTTCAAATGCATATCATATGATCCACTTATTAAATGTTCATGATCCATCTGAAAAGCGATAAATTGGAAATCGTTCAGTTTAAAAGGAAAGGAGCCATACCTGTAGACATCTGACATAATTTGAATGACCAAGCATTGTCATACGGCATCCGATGGAAGACCATCTCGGATTAACATCGACATTCCACACTTTGATTGAAAAATCATTAGAACCAGACACCAACAAACACATCTTTTGTTTCTTTCCGGCGTGGCCTGCGTTTCGTCAATCGAGACAACGAACGGTAGCGGAGTGACCGTTCAACGCCATTGTTCCGAGATCTGCAATTAAAAACGCATAAAATCAGAAGGTACAAAAACCGAAGTTTTTATTGGAGAAAGGAATGAGAGCCATATCGAAGGAGAATAGAATTAACTTACTCCCTACATCACTTGACCCTCTCAAATCCCAAATACGTATTGTGGTGTCAGAAGAACCACTAACGATTCTATCGTCATCAAATTGTACACATGTAATTCCTTGAGTGTGACCCGTAAATGTGCGCACGACACAACTGAAAGTCAGAAACATTTCGATGAAATAAGGTTATTTGACAGAATATGTAACTTTTCTGAATGGAGTCCAAACAGAGCTAATCCATCTGACTCGTTTTTTTTTCGAATACTCACAAGGAATATTGCTTTGCAAGCGATGGCGCGCCCCGAATCTATTGATCTACACCCAAAAAGTGAAAGCTGATGAAGGAACAAAGGCGGCCAGAAAACACAAACGATTGCCACTTAACGATTTTATGCATTGGTGGGACAAAACCAGCGATAAACCCAGAGGGACAAAACCAGCGATAAACCCAGAGTCCTGCCATTAAGTAAGGCTTTTGCAAAATGATGATCCCCGTCAAATTCTCATGCTGATCCTAACTACCATCTTCCTAGATTCTCCAGCCTTCCTACCCCAAAAAACGAGTGAAAAAAGAATTGCTGCTAAGCGGGTTAGGGGTGTATTCGGTATGTATGGCGCAGTTGAAAAGAAAAACTGAGCAAAGTTAATAGCTGAAAATAAAAGAAGCTAATTGCGACCTCTTTCGCCTCTGCGGCAACAAAATACGACCCCCTCTCTGGGGATCCCCAAGGTACGGCAGGTGCTCCAACGCACCATCCTACGTCATGAACTGTGGTGACCAAATCGAAGCAACTTACCGTCCTGCGTGCCAATTTCTCCAAAGTCTGTAGCGTTCAGAGAACGCTTCTTTCCATCGAACTGTACCACATTCGGACGTGTGGCTTCGTAACTGCGATGATTCTGCTTCCGCAGAACAGAGACGAAATTCACGTGGTAATTGGCATAGCGTTCGCCATAGCATAGGTTCAGAACAAACAAGGCGCCAATAGCGAGATACACGAGAACTTCGGCAGAGGGAAACTGAAGAATGAAGGTATAAAGATGCTCCAAACAGGACAGAAATTTCACAGGAAAGGTATATTTTCTGCAATGTGCGACATTAGTCCCAGATATAAGAACTGTTCGGCTTGGAGGGGCGTTTTGTACTCCTGCTAATTGCTTTTGTTCATGTTGAATAACAGGTTTTACAAAGAAAAGCCGAACTGCCCGAGATATCTAGACTAGGAAGTAAAAAGGACAAACCTGGGTCTAGATAAGCCATAATACGAAGCACAATATGTGATGGAAGTAGCGTGAGTGGATCTTTACTTCCATTCGTTGTTGGACGAGATCTTGCAACACGTAACCGTGATATTAACATGCTAATGTATTCCAGATTTGGTAAATCGCAGTCATTCTATAATACTTCTTCGATGCAAATTGTTTCGAATTACATAAAGTGTGTAACATATGGAATTTAAGCCCACCAATAAAGCTCCTCTAATTAGCAATTTTCTTTCATCCTCGTCCGTGTCTGCTAGCCATTGCCGAAAAATCTGCAATTTTAGGATGTAATTTCATACAACAGTCTTTAAGTGGAAGATTCAAAAAGAATAGTCAAATTACAACTGGACCCTCTCTCTAGCAGGTCGGTACCTCTGTGGTACCCGGTTTTCATGGAAGAACCTTGCTCCACAGCCACTAACCAGCTTTCTATTCCAGAAGTTCCAGACTTGCAAAAATCAAACTAGGAAATTCTCATAACACACTTTTCGACTAGAGGGGTCATTCTCAGAGGATCGAACCTTGCTCAAGGTTCAGGTTTTTCTCTCATTCCGTCATTCCCTCATACGCCTCCACTCTCGAGCGATTCCGATGGAATATCTGGAGAGCAACGGAAAAAATGCATTGGTGAACTAGGTGAAGTTGTTGCACCCCTTCGGATATTTTCGAATAGATATCGCTCACACAAGTGGAGAAAGGGTGAAATCCATTCGCTTCTGACGCATCTCGCGGATACTCTGTAGAACTGCACAGTCCCAAGAGCCTCTAAGCCTTCCCCTTTAATTCCTCCTTGTTTTTCCTCCCTTCCCTCTTCGTCCATTTTCTCTATCCTGAACCAGTCGAATGACAAGAAAAAAATGTTCTGGCTGAGGACGTGTTCATAACAAGCAGTGAGCTGAAGAACTGGCAGAACTAAGAAAAACCCTTTCTGTAACGTTTGAGCCTTTCCAACTAACCTTTAACCTTTCCGCCGTTTTATGCTTCTTGGGATGTCCATTTGGCACTGTCAGGCCAAAGTTTCTCGTTGCGCCATTATGTATCTGACAGTCACTGGGATCACTTGGACCAGGCCAGGACATGCAGCTGATATACTTACTGCTGTATCCGAATTTTATATTTTACCTGAAATTTTTTGCTAGTCTTGATTCAAAACAGCCGCATTCACTTTAGGAATGAAATAATGGTCCTTTCAAAACACCCGTAGGGCACTTGATGAGCGACATTACAACAGCGATTACGGAATTTCCAGAAGGCACTGTTCGACTTGGGGGAGGCATGCAAGCTTTTTCGCTAGCATCCATTGTAGTTAACAGGTGGATGACGCCTGGCAGTGAGACACCTGTAATACTCCTGTTAAGGCTCACGAAATCATCTTGAGCCACTACAAAATTTAAGCAGGTCTCCTCAATGTTAACCTGACATCTAGCTACTGATGCAATCATTTGGCGACCCCACCAAGCCGAACTGGGCTTTTCAAAAATTTAAAAGATATCCGAAAGACGAGGAACTTCACGGAAATGAGTACGAACCAGCTGGAGAAATTTCGCAAACTTCAACAAAACCTTTCAGAGGAACAGATGGCGGTTGTCCATAGGTCACTAAGTTTCCGCTAGAGCACGCTAGGTGACACTAAATCTTCCCAAACATGCAATGAGTCCCAGCTGTTTTGGCATGACAAATCAACTTGCAATTACATTACCTGTCCACACACTGGCAACTTACTCTTAAGATTAACATAAGAATTCTGAGTTATGGGCAAAAGTCTTGACCCCAGGCGGGCTCGAACCTACCCCTCACGCTTTCCAGACGAGTGCGCTAACCTTTACTCTTGAAGCATTTGTCCTTTCTTGTATTAACATCCGATTCCAACAGACATTTTATGGCACAACACAGAAAATGCATAATAATTCACTTTATTGCCGAGTAATTAATTGCGGAAGATAATTGCAGAACATCGTTTGCATAATTCCAGAAACAACTCTTAGCCACTAATAAAGCCTACTAAAATTCACAGATCCAGGACACAAGTTGGCAGTGGAATACGATGATAACACAATTCGTAGTATTAAAACACTAGCAGCAAGCACAGGCCACATATTTTCGGCTATTTACATCAACCCCTAATTGAACTAGCTACGAAAATTAGTCCATCAACAATTTTTCAGCATATCTCAGTAAAAACAACTGAAAGGAGTGCAAGGGCAGTTGGCGGCGAGGGGAAAGGGCGAAAGGGGGAGGGGGGAGGGGGACAATTTTGCCTTTTGGCAACTTCCTGTCGACTTGTCGACCCATATAAGAGAGCCAATGGTGAGATTACAAGAGTTGACAGACTTCACCATAGTGAGAGGCAAACCCTAACTGGTGAAGCTTCGGAAGTGAAAACAGCCCTCCCTCCTCTCCCCCCCACCTCGCCGGAATGTGCCGAATGTATATTGTTAGTTTTCTCCAAAGCGAACAAAATACAACAAAGTGAGATAACATTATTATGAAGGCAGACAAACTAAGGAAAACACAGAGATTTAGCTATTACCACGGCGCGGATTGCGATACACACGACCAGGACTTTTGTGTGAAACCTGCTCCACATCGTTGAATAATACTGCAGTTCCTCCACCGGCTGTTGGGATGCATTCACCCTGAAAATACGATGAACTAGTACTGTAAGAGAGGTATCAGCTTGGAAGTTAAAGTGTTACTTGTAACTGTTGGTTGACATTTTGATAAAATTAAGGCAAGTGGGGTACCGATGAGGGCACTAAAGCCGCGTTCATACTTCGCCATTCGATCATTTGGGTCGCGCGATTCCAGCGATCGCTTGGCTCGCGCAGGATGATGCCGAATGTGTGAAGCACGCGAAGCTCGCTACTGTCGTCAACTGACTACTGGCGCAGCTCGCTCGGATCGCGAACTATGAACGCGTTTTAACATCCAGGACAACACACCTGATAACGGAAAAGCCACATGACATGTTAAAGGCAGTTGGCACGATAAATCCTGAAGAGACGTGTGATTAATACGAATGGTAGAACGGATTTCCGCGACCCTGAGCAGACGCTGCGTAGCGGCTTTTCTTAGGGTGGTACCCTTATAAGGGTCCCATCAAGCTACAACCGACCTACACGAACGCTCGCCACGCCCGCCCGCCCACAAATGGACGACCTTACCAGATGGCTCATTTTGCTTCATTTGCTAGGTAAAACATAAGACGAAGAGGGATTGGCATGAAGCGGCTTGCAGTGCTGCATGGATATAAGGGCACATACATGCAGCCGTACCTACCGGAGCGGTTATTGCAATACGCCTACGGGAAACTCGTCCGAAATTGCTTTTCAAGAACGAAGGCTTTCCTTTACAGTTTCTGACCGTTTCACTTCGTTTTTTTTTTGCCACTTTCCCCACTATATAGCGCTATACAAGCATTTTTAGGCTGAGTATCAATAATCGTGCCAACTGCCTTTGATGCAAATCCCCCTGGTAGATCTATCTTTTACTTTTCTGGAAAGAAAACACTGCGCTCAA